TCATTCGTAAGGCACTTCTCTGTACCTTCAATATGTCCTGATTCAGTGCAAACAAGCTTGTCAACAACAATATGTACATATATCAGGATCAATAACAACAATCGCTGATTATTATCATGAAACTCCCCAAACACACTAACATCCATTTCACCCAGTTATAGTATTCTAGTCTTGTTCTGAGGGAAAGAAAAGTGACTCTCATTTTTATTGCACATCTTCACCTTTCCTCTGAGAAATGAAAACAGCAAATAAAAGTTGTCTCTTTACTGTAGTAATGACCAGTGCCAGAACTACACAATAATATTTTACCGCTAACCAGTAAAATACACAGGAGGCTTTTCAAAAATAATGAATATTTTCCTGGTATTTTACAAATCTTCCATTCCGAGAATAAATCCCTTTCCTCCCGGCCAACCCGGTATTCCTCGCCCAAACCGGAACGCTCATTCAAAAGCATCATAAAGCATATAAATAGGCCTATATCTGGATATGATTAGAGCTTTGATCCAAAATTCAAGGCTGATTCTACCTGAGCCTGATGAGCCATACATTAAACACATATTATGAGCCCTACATTAAAGACATTTAATGAGCCCAAGCCCAAAAAAGCCCAAATGATTGGGCCATTATCCAATACATATATGATATAGGCTCCTGCACGACAGACAAACATAAAAGCCCACAGATGTAGCTAGCTATATAAATCCCATAGATGTAGCTAGCTATATAAATCCCACAGATGTAGCTAGCTATATAAAGCCCACAGATGTAGCTAGCTATATAAAGCCCACAGATGTAGCTAGCTATATAAAGCCCACAGATGTAGCTAGCTATATAAAGCCCACAGATGTAGCTAGCTATATAAAGCCCATAGATGTAGCTAGCTATATAAAGCCCACAGATGTAGCTAGCTATATAAAGCCCACAGATGTAGCTAGCTATATGCTCTCTTGGGTAAATAAATTAAACTAGCTCCAGTAGGCTAATCTTTTTGCATGTGAACTGTATTACTGTACTGTATAATACTGTATTATATGGACTGGAATTACGCACATCGTTCAAACCATGATAAAGCAGAAGAGAACATGCGGCCTACAACGTTACAAGTATAGGCTAGTGGATATGATTTTACTTTTGAAATATAATAGGGCCTTTTGTATAATTAGTAGGCTGACGCATATACAGTGCCTTTGGAAAGTATTCAGACCCCTTGACTTTTTCCACATTTTGTTACGTTACAGCCTTATTCTAAAATGGATTAAATAAATTAAAATCCTCAGCTATCTACACACAATACCCCATAATGACAAAGCGAAAACAGGTTTTTAGAAATTGTTGCAAATGTATTCAAATTAAAAAACAGAATTTCCTTATTTACATAAGTATTCAGACCCTTTGCTATGAGACTCAAAATTGAGCTCAGGTGCATCCTGTTTCCATTGATCTTCCTTGAGATGTTTCTACAACTTGATTGGAGTCCACCTGTGGTAAATTCAATTGATTGGACATGATTTGGAAAAGCACACACCTGTCTATATAAGGTCCCACAGTTGACAGTGAATGTCAGAGCAAAAACCAAGCCACGAGGTCGAAGGAATTGTCTGTAGAAGCTCCGAGACAGGAATGTGTCGAGGCACAGATCTGGGGAAGGGTACCAAAAAATGTCTGCTGCATTGAAGGTCCTCAAGAACACAGTGCCCTCCATCATTCTTAAAATGGAAGAAGTTTGGAACCACCAAGACTCATCCTAGAGCTGGCCGCCCGGCCAAAGAGAGCAATCGGGGGAGAAGGGCCTTGGTCAGGGAGGTGACCAAGAACCCAATGGTCACTCTGACAGCGCTCTAGAGTTCCTCTGTGGAGATGGGAGAACCTTCCAGAAGGACAACCATCTCTGCAGCACGCCACCAATCAGGCCTTTATGGTAGTGGCCAGACGGAAGCCACTCCTCAGTAAAAGGCACATGATAGCCCGCTTGGAGTTTGCCAAAAGGCACTTAAAGACTCTCAGACCATGGAAAACAAGATTCTCTGGTCTGATGAAACCAATATTGAACTCTTTGGCCTGAATGCCAAGCGTCACATCTGGAGGAAACCTGACACCATCCCTACATGGTGGTGGCAGCATCATGCTGTGGGTATGTTTTTCAGCGGCAGGGACTGGGAGACTAGTCAGGATCGAGGCAAAGATGAATGGAGCAAAGTACAGAGAGATCCTTGATGAAAATCTGCTCCAGAGCGCTCAGGACCTCAGACTGGGGTGAAGGTTCACCTTCCAACAGGACAACGACCCTAAGCACACAGCCAAGACAACGCAAGAGTGGCTTCGGGACAAGTCTCTGAATGTCCTTGAGTGGCCCAGCCAGAGCCCGGACTTGAAGCCGATCGAACATCTCTGGAGAGACCTATAAATAGCTGTGCCGCAACGCTCCCCATCCAACCTGACAGAGCTTGAGAGGATCTGCAGAGAAGAATGGGAGAAACTCCCCAAATACAGGTGTGCCAAGCTTGTAGCGTCATACCCAAGAAGACTCGAGGCTGTAGTCGCTACCAAAGGTGCTTCAACAAAATACTGAGTAAAGGGTCTGATTTAAAAATTTAAAATAAAAATGTATTCTAACTTTTCAAAAATTTATAAAAACCTGTTTTTGCTTTGTCATTATGGGTTATTGTGTGTAGATTGTGTGTAGATCCGGCTGTACTGTTGACTGGAATGGTTACACTGTCTGGCTGTACTGTTGACTGGCATGGTTACACTGTCTGGCTGTACTGTTGACTGGGCTGGTTACACTGTCTGGCTGTACTGTTGACTGGGCTGGTTACACTGTCTGGCTGTACTGTTGACTGGGATGGTTACACTGTCTGGCTGTACTGTTGACTGGGATGGTTACACTGTCTGGCTGTACTGTTGACTGGGATGGTTACACTGTCTGGCTGTACTGTTGACTGGGATGGTTACACTGTCTGGCTGTACTGTTGACTGGGATGGTTACACTGTCTGGCTGTACGGTTGACTGGGATGGTTACACTGTCTGCTGTACGGTTGACTGGGATGGTTACACGTCTGGCTGGTACTGTTGACTGGGATGGTTACACTGTCTGGCTGTACTGTTGACTGGGATGGTTACACTGTCTGGCTGTACTGTTGACTGGGATGGTTACACTGTCTGGCTGTACTGTTGACTGGGATGGTTACACTGTCTGGCTGTACTGTTGACTGGGATGGTTACACTGTCTGGCTGTACTGTTGACTGGGATGGTTTACACTGTCTGGCTGTACTGTTGACTGGGATGGTTACACTGTCTGGCTGTACTGTTGACTGGGATGGTTACACTGTCTGGCTGTACTGTTGACTGGGATGGTTACACTGTCTGGCTGTACTGTTGACTGGGCTGGTTACACTGTCTGGTGGTGGTTTGTGCATTATTATAGACGTTTATAATCTAAATATTATATAAAATGTCATTTTCATAGATGTTTATACCATAAATCAGCAGTAAACTACTGTCATCACCACCACTATAAAGCTTCACAGAGACTATATCGGTGTCTCAAATGGCAGACTATTCCCTATATACAAGGGCCCTGGTCAAAAGTAGTACACTATATAGGGAATAGGGTGCTATTTCGGACACAGCCTATTTTTGGTACAGTTACAGCAGACAGGGAGGATTACAAATCATTTCTACATTTACATTTACGTCATTTAGCAGACGCTCTTATCCAGAGCGACTTACAGGAGCAATTAGGGTTAAGTGCCTTGCTCAAGGGCACATCGACAGATTTTTCACCTAGTCGGCTCGGGGATTAGAACCAGCGACCTTTCGGTTACTGGCACAACGCTCTTACCCACTAAACTACCTGCCGCCCATTTGTAGACTGTATTTGACTGCAAGAAGCGCCCAAACATATATAATATTTCAAACCTTGCTTATATTTGTATACAATCCCATGTCTATTATGCGTGGGGATACTTGGGAACAACGTCTTTTGACCAGAGCCCTGGTAGTACACTATATAGGGAATAGGGTGCCGTTTAGGTCACATATATAGGGAGTAAAGCAGCGGAGACCGTCAGGGAAGGAAAACCTGAACATTCCCAAGGTCAGAATTCCCATTTCTGGGAAAGACCTGTTAGATCCAACTGATGGTGAAGTTCTGGCTGAGGTTCAGTCCTAGGTCTGTTACGGTCAACACCTAGAGGGAGGGAGACAGTAGGAGAGTGGGAAAGACAGAGCGATGAATGGAGAGAGAGAGAGAGAGAGATACATTAATAACAAAGCACAGATATCATTTTCTCTAAACCAGGGTTACTCAACTACTACTCCTCCTCCTCTCACAAAGGTCCCGGATGGATATTGTCATTTATCAGCCTTGTCGTCGTAGTAACAAACCCCCACCTCACAACCCATGCTACCCTAAACTGTTCACACACACCCCTTGTTGGCGGAAATACAAAAATTGGCAAGAAACAAGTATGTGAACCCTTTGGAATTACCTGGATTTCTGCATAAATTGGTCCTAAAATTTGATCTGATCTTCATCTAAGTCAAAACAATAGACGAACAGTGTGCTTAAACTAATAACACACAAAAAAATTATACGTTTTCATGTCTTTATTGAACACACCGTGTAAACATTCGCAGTGTAGGGTGGGAAAAGTATGTGAACCCTTGGATTTAAATAACTGGTTGACCCTCTTTTGGCAGCAATAACATCAACCAACCGTTTTCTGTAGTTGCGGATCAGACCTGGACAACGGTCAGGAGGAATTTTGGACCATTCCTCTTTATTATTATTATATTATTATTTACAAAACTGTTTCAGTTAAGCAATATTCTTGGGATGTCTGGTGTGAACCGCTCTCTTGAGGTCATGCCACAGCATCTCAATTGGGTTGAGGTCGGGACTCTGACTGGGCCAGGAGGTCAGGAGTCTGACTGGGCCAGGAGGTCAGGAGTCTGACTGGGCCAGGAGGTCGGGACTCTGACTGGGCCAGGAGGTCAGGAGGTCGGGACTCTGACTGGGCCAGGAGGTCGGGACTCTGACCGGGCCAGGAGGTCGGGACTCTGACCGGGCCAGGAGGTCGGGACTCTGACTGGGCCAGGAGGTCGGGACTCTGACTGGGCCAGGAGGTCGGGACTCTGACTGGGCCAGGAGGTCGGGGCTCTGACTGGGCCAGGAGGTCGGGGCTCTGACCGGGCCAGGAGGTCGGGGCTCTGACCGGGCCAGGAGGTCGGGGCTCTGACCGGGCCAGGAGGTCGGGACTCTGACCGGGCCAGGAGGTCGGGACTCTGACCGGGCCAGGAGGTCGGGACTCTGACGGGCCAGGAGGTCGGGACTCTGACGGCCAGGAGTCGGGATCTGACCAGGCCTGAGGTCGACGGTCTACCCAGGAGGTGGGAGACAGGAAGGAGTCGGGTTGGAAAGACAGAGGTCGGGATGATGAGGAGAGAGAGGCAGAGAGGATACGGACTACAAAGGCACAGATTATTTTCTCGAACCACGGGCGGGGTACTCTAACTGCCAGATGTCACCTCTCTGGGCACAAGGTCACCGGATGGTATGCAGGTAGTCGACCTGTGTCGTAGTACAAACTCCCACTGCCAGATCACCCATGCTACCAGAGGCTGTTCACGGCCAGAGCCCTTGTTGGCGGAATACAAAATGGCAGAGTAAACATATGTACGGGCCTTGGAGTGTACCTGATGTGCAGAGTTGGGTACTCTGAAATGGGTGATCTGATCTTCACTGCTAAGTCACCAACGCAGAGCGAACACCAGGGCTGGAAACTAATAACAGCACAAGAAGTACTCTACTGGTTTCATGTCTTATTGAACATGCCAGACGGTGTGAACATTGACTGGCAGGGTGGGAGTCATGTGGACCTGGATTAAACTACTGGGTGACGGCTCGTTTGGCAGAATCAACTCAATACGCGTTTTCTGTAGGTGTGGATCAGACGGCCTGTACCGGTCGGGATTGTTGGACCGAGTTCCGCTTACAACTGTTGCAGTTCAGCATATCTGCTGGCGGAGGTCTGGCTGTGAACCTGCTCTGAGGTCTGCAGCTCTCAATTGGGTGAGTTCGGGACTCTGACTGGGCCAGGAGGTCGGGACTCTGACCGGGCCAGGAGGTCGGGACTCTGACCGGGCCAGGAGGTCAGGACTCTGACCGGGCCAGGAGGTCGGGACTCTGACTGGGCCGGGAGGTCGGGACTCTGACTGGGCCAGGAGGTCGGGACTCTGACTGGCGAGCAGGAGGTCAGGACTCTGACTGGGCCAGGAGGTCGGGACTCTGACTGGGCCAGGAGGTCAGGAGTCTGACTGGGCCGCTCCAGAAGGCGTATTCTCTTCTATTGAAGCCATTCTGTTGTTGATTTACTTCTGTGTTTTGGGCGTTGTCCTGTTGCGTCACCCAACTTCTGTTGAGCTTCAGCTGGTGGACAGATAACCTTACATTCTCCTGCAGAATGTCTTCATAAAACGTGGGAATTCATTTTTCCCCTCGATGATAGCAAGCTGTCCAGGCCCTGAGGCAGCAAAGCAGCCCCAAACCATGACGCTCCCTCCACCATACTTTACAGTTGGGATGAGGTTTTGATGTTGGTGTGCTGGGCCTTTTTTTCTCCACACATAGTGTTGTGTGTTCCTTCCAAACAACTCAACTTTAGTTTCATCTGTCCACAGAATATTTGGCCAGTAGCGCTGTGGAACATCCAGGTGCTCTTTTGTGAACTTCAGACGTGCAGCAATGTTTTTTTTGGGACAGCAGTGGCTTCTTCCGTGGTGTTCTCCCATGAACACCATTCTTGTTTAGTGTTTTACGTATCGTAGACTCGTCAACAGAGATGTTAGCATGTTCCAGAGATTTCTGTAAGTCTTTAGCTGACACTAGGATTCTTCTTAACCTCATTGAGCGTTCTGCGCTGTGCTCTTCCAGTCATCTTTACAGGACGGTCACTCCTAGGGAGAGAAGCAACAGTCCTGAACTTTCTCCATTTTTAGACAATTTGTCTTACCGTGGACTGATGAACATCAAGGCTTTTAGAGATACTTTTGTAACCCTTTCCTGCTTTACGCAAGTCAACCATTCTTAACCTTAGGTCTTCTGAGATCTATTTTGTTCGAGGCATGGTTCACATCAGCCAATGCTTCTTGTGAATAGCAAACTCACATTTTGTGAGTGTTTTTTGTAGGGCAGGGCAGCGCTAACCAACATCTTCAATCTTGTCTCAGTTTAGCTGACACCTGAGTCCAATTAGCTTTTGGAGAAGTCATTAGCCTAGGGGTTCACATACTTTTTCCAACCTACACTGTGAATGTTTAAATTATGTATTCAATATAGACAATAAAAATACAATAATTTGTGTGTTATTAGTTTAAGCACACTGTGTTTGTCTATTGTTGTGACTTAGATGAAGATCAGATTACATTTTATTACCAATTTATGCAGAAATCCAGGTAATTCCAAAGGGTTCATATACTTTTTCTTGCCACTGTATGTACACACAGAAGTATGTGGACACCCCTTCAAATTAGTGGATTCGGCTATTTCAGCCACACCTGTTGCTGACAGGTGTATAAAATAGAGCACACGGCCATGCAATCTCCATAGACAAACATTGGCAGTAGAATGGCCTTACTGAAGAGCTCAGTGACTTTCAACGTGGCATCCTATGGAAAGGATGCCACCTTTCCAACAAGTCAGTTTGTCACATTTCTGCCCTGCTAGAGTTGCCCCGGTCAACTGTAAGTGCTGTTATTATGAAGTGGAAACGTCTAGGAGCAACAACGGCTCAGCTGTGAAGTGGAAACGTCTAGGAGCAACAACGGCTCAGCTGTGAAGTGGAAACGTCTAGGAGCAACAACGGCTCAGCTGTGAAGTGGTAGGCCACAGAAGCTCACAGAATGGGACTGGCGAGTAAAAATCATCAGTCCTCGGTTGCAACACTCCCTACAGAGTTCCAAACTGCCTCTGGACGCAACGTCAGCACAATAACTGTTCGTCAGGAGCTTCATGAAATAGGTTTCCATTGCAGAGCAGCCGCACACGAGCCTAAGATCACCATGTGCAATGCCAAGAGTCGGCTGGAGTGGTGTAAAGCTCACCCCAATTGGACTCTGGAGCAGTGGAAACGAGTTCTCTGGAGTGATGAATCACGCGTCACCATCTGGCAGTTTGACAGACAAATCTGGGTTTGCCGGATGCCTGGAGAACGCTACCTGCCCCAATGCATAGTGCCAACTGTAAAGTTTGGTGGAGGAGGAATAATGGTCTGGGGCTGTTTTTCATGGTTCAGGCCAGCCCCCTTAGTTCCAGTGAAACTAAATCTTAACGCTATAGCATACAATGACATTCTAGACAATTCTGTGCTTCCAACAGTTTGGGGAAGGCCCTTTCCTGTTTCAGCATGACAATGCCCCCATGCACAAAGCGAGGTCCATACAGAAATGGTTTGTCGAGATCGGTGTGGAAGAACTTGACTGGCCAGTACAGAGCCCTGACCTCAACCCCATCGAACACCTTTGGGATTAATTGGAATGCCGACTGCGAGCCAGGCCTAATCGCCCAACATCAGTGCCCGGCCTCACTAATGCTCTTGTGGCTGAATGGAAGTCTCCGCAGCAATGTTCCAACATCTAGTGGAAATCCTTCCCACGAGAGTGGAGGCTGTTATAGCAGCAAAGGGGGGACCAACTCCATATTAATGCCCATGATTTTGGAATGAGATGTTCGACGAGCAGGTGTCCACATACTTTTGGTCATGCAGTGTACATTTTTAAGTCTACACAGTTTGCCATGTCTTTACGTGTGTTCAAATGATACCTGTTGACTTAGCTGGTTAGCCTAACTTACCTACCCATCTATCTATCTAACATGGGCTAGTAGATGATCAACTGGAGATTTCTGACAGGTTATAAATGGCTCTCTAAGGTCCGTCAGTGAATGACATAAGAGGAAAGCTGCCCATGTACTACTACATTTACAAATTAAACTGCACCTTGTGCTTTCTACTATTACAACTGTCAACAGCATTAAATTGAAAGCACGACTAAATTCCTTTATTAAAATGTTTTATTGTGACCCGCGGTCCGTATTGACCCCGTTTTGAGTATGGCTGCTCTAAAACTTAATCTGAACTTTAAAACCTAACCTCTGACCCCTTTAACACCAAGCCTCACCTGATTGGCTCTGTAGGTGAATGCAGCATCCTGGGAGTTGACCGTGACCCTGGTAGGCTCCGCCTTCACGCCATAGAAGGAGGCTGTTTCCACTGTGATGTAGGAAGCCTCCACGTGGTCGTGCAGCACCTCCGATGTCATCGTGTTCTAGAACACAAAAGGAAGAGAAGGGAGAAGAGGTGATGGCTATAGTGTTAGTAGTGGTTGAACCAGCTGTCATGGCTATAGTGTTAGTAGTGGTTGAACCAGCTGTGATGCTATAGTGTTAGTAGTGGTTGAACCAGCTGTCATGGCTATAGTGTTAGTAGTGGTTGAACCAGCTGTGATGGCTATAGTGTTAGTAGTGGTTGAACCAGCTGTCATGGCTATAGTGTTAGTAGTGGTTGAACCAGCTGTGATGCTATAGTGTTAGTAGTGGTTGAACCAGCTGTGATGCTATAGTGTTAGTAGTGGTTGAACCAGCTGTGATGCTATAGTGTTAGTAGTGGTTGAACCAGCTGTGATGGCTATAGTGTTAGTAGTGGTTGAACCAGATGTGATGCTATAGTGTTAGTAGTGGTTGAACCAGCTGTCATGGCTATAGTGTTAGTAGTGGTTGAACCAGCTGTCATGGCTATAGTGTTAGTAGTGGTTGAACCAGCTGTGATGCTATAGTGTTAGTAGTGGTTGAACCAGCTGTGATGGCTATAGTGTTAGTAGTGGTTGAACCATTCTTTGACCACAGTACTCACTGTGTACAGTAGTTTATGTAGTGGTTGTGTTGTATTGTGGTTGTGTAGTGGTTGGAGCGTACCTTGACCACAGTGAACACTATGTGAGCGTACTGGTCTGTAGTGGTTGTGCTGTGGTTGTGTAGTGGTTGGAGCGTCCTTGACCACAGTGAACACTATGTGAGCGTACTGGTCTGTAGTGGTTGTGTTATGGTTGTGTTATGGTTGTGTAGTAGTTGGAGCGTACCTTGACCACAGTGAACACTATGTGAGCGTACTGGTCGGTTTCGAAGGTGTCGATGCTCTCTCCGTCGTCCCAGAACAGCTCTCCTCTGGCTGAGCCGTCTTCAGACAGACTGGACACCAGGTGGAGCGGCTGACCACTGCTCACAAACAGGGTGGTGTTGGGACGCTACAGAGGGAGAGAGAGAGGGAGGGATAGAGAGAGAGAGAGAGAGAGAGAGAGACAGAGGGATAGAGAGAGAGGGATAGAGAAAGAGGGATATAGAGAGAGAGAGAGAGACACAGAGGGATAGAGAGAGAGGGATAGAGAAAGAGGGATATAGAGAGAGAGAGAGACCGAGAGAGAGAGAGAGAGGGAGAGAGAGACAGCGGGATAGAGAGAGAGAGAGACAGAGAGAGAGGGATCGAGAGAGACAGAGGGATAGAGAGAGAGAGATACATACACTGAAATATGATAGAGATACACAGATAGAGAAACATTGGTTTTTTCGATATCTATGCCTGACCATCTACTGTGTCATTGTCTTATTAACCCTCAGTAGATACTAATAATATGGAGCGTCCAGCTATTTGCTGATCTACTGTGTGTCTGTTTACCTGTGTAGGTATGACAGCTCCTTCTCTCAGGTGAAGGTTGATGTGATCTAGAGGAGCCTTGAGTCTCAACTCTTCTCCTTTACTACGGATAGAATCACCCTGAGAGCGAGAGAGAGAGACATTCAATATTCAGCATGTGAATTATACACAGCGTGTACAAAACATTAAGAACACCTCCTCTTTCCATGACATAGACTGACCAGGTGAATCCAGGTGAAAGATATGATCCCTTATTGATGTCACTTGTTAAATCCACTTCAGTCAGTGTAGATGAAGGCGAGGAGACAGGTTAAAGAAGGATTTTTAAGCCTTGAGACAATTGAGACATGGATTGTGTATGTGTGCCATTCAGAGGGTGAATGGGCAAGACAAAATATTTAGGTGTCTTTGAACGGGGTATGGTAGTAGGTACCAGGCGCACCGGTTTGTGTCAAGAACTGTCACGCTGCTGGGTTTTTCACGCTCAACAGTTTCCCGTGTGTATCAAGAATGGTCCACCATCCAAAGGACATCCAGCCAACTTGACACAACTGTGGGATGCATTGGAGTCAACATGGGCCAGCATCCCTGTGGAACGCTTTCAACACCTTGTAGAGTCCATGACCCGACGAATTGAGGCTGTTCTGAGGGCAAAAGGGGGGTGTATCGTCAGACGGGGCCACAGTGTCCCCCGACCCTCCCCATCTCAGCCTCCAGTATCTATGCTGCAATAGTCTATGTGCCGTGGGGCTAGGGTCAGTCTGTTATATCTGGTGAAATTATCCTGTCTTATCTGGTGTCCTGTGTGAATTTAAGTATGCTCCCTCTAATTCTCTCTCTCTCCCTCTCCCCTCCCAGAGGACCTGAGCCCTAGGACCATGCCTCAGGACTACCTGGCCTGATGACTCCTGGCTGTCCCCAGTCCACCTGGTTGTGCTGCTGCTCCAGTTTCAACTGTTCTGCCTGCGGCTATGGAACCCAGACCTGTTCACCGGACGTGCTACCTTGTCCCGGACCTGCTGTTTTCAACTTTCTCTCTCTACCGCACCTGCTATTTCAACCTCTAAATGCCCGGCTATGAAAAGCCAAGTGACATTTACTCCTGATGTACTGACCTGTTGCAACCTCTACAACCACTGTGATTATTATTTGACCCTGCTGGTCATCTGTAGCTCAGCTGGTAGAGCACGGCGCTTGTAACGCCAAGGTAGTGGGTTCGATCCCCGGGACCACCCATACACAAAAATGTATGCACGCATGACTGTAAGTCGCTTTGGATAAAAGCGTCTGCTAAATGGCATATTATTATTATTATTATCTATGAACGTTTGAACATCTTGGAGAAAAATCTGGCCTTAATGGCCATGTACTTATAATCTCCACCGGTCACAGCCAGAAGAGGACTGGCCACCCCTCAGAGCCTGGTTCCTCTCTAGGTTTCTTCCTAGGTTCCTGCCTTTCTAGGGAGTTTTTAGCCACCCTGCTTCTCCATCTGCATTGCTTGCTGTTTGGGGTTTTAGGCTGGGTTTCTGTATAGCACTTTATGACATCTGCTGATGTAAAAAGGGCTTTATAAATAACATTTGATTGATTGATTTGATTGATTGAGTGCAACTCAATATCAGGAAGGTGTTCCTAATGTTTTGTCCACTCAGTGTATATCCCATTATTCAGCCTGAAACAAAAACCTTTGAACTACCATCACATTCTATTGTGATTACCCAGAATTACTACTAGTTGTGTCCTGTGTGGCCCAGGGGTTCCAGCTGGTTGGAATCCGGCCCACTGCCCTTTGACCCCTCCCTATCATCTGGTACATTTTAGTGATTTATTTAACAGACGCTCTTATCCACTTACAGTTAGCGAGTGCACACATTTTCGTACTGGTCCCCCCTGTGGGAATCGAACCCACAACCCTGGCGTTGCAAGCGCCATGCTCTACCAACTGAGCCACACGGGACAATCTTTCCAACACTTTACCATCTAATCAATAAAGCAAAAATATATATAATTACGAAAGGAGTGAGACTGCCCCCACCCCTTAGAAAATACCTTAATTATTTGTTTTAACTAATAATTACTATAGTTGTGTACCAGAGTCCCTGGGCTTAGGGTTATTAAGGGGTCTGTATAGTTGGTATGTATAGTTGTATTCTTACCGTATAGTTGTGTACCAGAGTCCCTGGGCTTAGGGTTATTAAGGGGTCTGTATAGTTGGTATGTATAGTTGTATTCTGACCGTATAGTTGTGTACCAGAGTCCCTGGGCTTAGGGTTATTAATGGGGTCTGTATAGTTGGTATGTATAGTTTGTATTCTTACCGTATAGTTGTGTACCAGAGTCCCTGGGCTTAGGGTTATTAAGGGGTATGTATAGTTGGTATGTATAGTTGTATTCTTACCGTATAGTTGTGTACCAGAGTCCCTGGGCTTAGGGTTATTAAGGGGTATGTATAGTTGGTATGTATAGTTGTATTCTGACCGTATAGTAGTGGTACCAGAGTCCCTGGGCTTAGGGTTATTAAGGGGTATGTATAGTTGATATGTATAGTTGTATTCTTACCGTATAGTTGTGTACCAGAGTCCCTGGGCTTAGGGTTATTAAGGGGTATGTATAGTTGGTATGTATAGTTGTATTCTTACCGTATGGTAGTGGTACCAGAGTCCCTGGGCTTAGGGTTATTAAGGGGTATGTATAGTTGGTATGTATAGTTGTATTCTTACCGTATAGTTGTGTACCAGAGTCCCTGGGCTTAGGGTTATTAAGGGGTCTGTATAGTTGGTATGTATAGTTGTATTCTTACCGTATAGTTGTGTACCAGAGTCCCTGGGCTTAGGGTTATTAAGGGGTATGTATAGTTTGTATGTATAGTTGTATTCTGACCGTATAGTTGTGTACCAGAGTCCCTGGGCTTAGGGTTATTAAGGGGTCTGTATAGTTGGTATGTATAGTTGTATTCTTACCGTATAGTTGTGTACCAGAGTCCCTGGGCTTAGGGTTATTAAGGGGTATGTATAGTTTGTATGTATAGTTGTATTCTGACCGTATAGTTGTGTACCAGAGTCCCTGGGCTTAGGGTTATTAAGGGGTCTGTATAGTTGGTATGTATAGTTGTATTCTTACCGTATAGTCGTGGTACCAGAGTCCCTGGGCTTAGGGTTATTAAGGGGTATGTATAGTTGATATGTATAGTTGTATTCTGACCGTATAGTTGTGTACCAGAGTCCCTGGGCTTAGGGTTATTAAGGGGTATGTATAGTTGGTATGTATAGTTGTATTCTGACCGTATGGTAGTGGTACCAGAGTCCCTGGGCTTAGGGTTATTAAGGGGTATGTATAGTTTGATATGTATAGTTGTATTCTGACCGTATAGTTGTGTACCAGAGTCCCTGGGCTTAGGGTTATTAAGGGGTATGTATAGTTGTATGTATAGTTGTATTCTGACCGTATAGTTGTGTACCAGAGTCCCTGGGCTTAGGGTTATTAAGGGGTATGTATAGTTGATATGTATAGTTGTATTCTGACCGTATAGTTGTGTACCAGAGTCCCTGGGCTTAGGGTTATTAAGGGGTATGTATAGTTGGTATGTATAGTTGTATTCTGACCGTATGGTAGTGGTACCAGAGTCCCTGGGCTTAGGGTTATTAAGGGGTATGTATAGTTGGTATGTATAGTTGTATTCTGACCGTATGGTAGTGGTACCAGAGTCCCTGGGCTTAGGGTTATTAAGGGGTATGTATAGTTGGTATGTATAGTTGTATTCTGACCGTATAGTCGTGGTACCAGAGTCCCTGGGCTTAGGGTTATTAAGGGGTATGTATAGTTGGTATGTATAGTTGTATTCTGACCGTATAGTTGTGTACCAGAGTCCCTGGGCTTAGGGTTATTAAGGGGTCTGTATAGTTGATATGTATAGTTGTATTCTGACCGTATGGTAGTGGTACCAGAGTCCCTGGGCTTAGGGTTATTAAGGGGTATGTATAGTTGGTATGTATAGTTGTATTCTGACCGTATAGTCGTGGTACCAGAGTCCCTGGGCTTAGGGTTATTAAGGGGTATGTATAGTTGGTATGTATAGTTGTATTCTTACCGTATAGTTGTGTACCAGAGTCCCTGGGCTTAGGGTTATTAAGGGGTCTGTATAGTTGGTATGTATAGTTGTATTCTGACCGTATAGTCGTGGTACCAGAGTCCCTGGGCTTAGGGTTATTAAGGGGTCTGTATAGTTGATATGTATAGTTGTATTCTTACCGTATAGTCGTGGGTACCAGAGTTCCCTGGGCTTAGGGTATAAGGGGTATGTATAGTTGATATGTATAGTTGTATTCTTACCGTATGGTAGTGGTACCAGAGTCCCTGGGCTTAGGGTTATTAAGGGGTATGTATAGTTGGTATGTATAGTTGTATTCTTACCGTATAGTTGTGGTACCAGAGTCCCTGGGCTTAGGGTTATTAAGGGTATGTATAGTTGATATGTATAGTTTGTATTCTTACCGTATAGTCGTGGTACCAGAGTCCCTGGGCTTAGGGTTATTAAGGGGTCTGTATAGTTGATATGTATAGTTGTATTCTTACCGTATAGTCGTGGTACCAGAGTCCCTGGGCTTAGGGTTATTAAGGGGTCTGTATAGTTGATATGTATAGTTGTATTCTTACCGTATAGTCGTGGTACCAGAGTCCCTGGGCTTAGGGTTATTAAGGGGTATGTATAGTTGATATGTATAGTTGTATTCTTACCGTATAGTTGTGGTACCAGAGTCCCTGGGCTTAGGGTTATTAAGGGGTATGTATAGTTGATATGTATAGTTGTATTCTTACCGTATAGTTGTGTACCAGAGTCCCTGGGCTTAGGGTTATTAAGGGGTATGTATAGTTGGTATGTATAGTTGTATTCTTACCGTATAGTTGTGTACCAGAGTCCCTGGGCTTAGGGTTATTAAGGGGTATGTATAGTTGGTATGTATAGTTGTATTCTTACCGTATAGTTGTGTACCAGAGTCCCTGGCTTAGGGTTATTAAGGGGTATGTATAGTTGATATGTATAGTTTGTATTCTTACCGTATAGTTGTGTACCAGAGTCCCTGGGCTTAGGGTTATTAAGGGGTCTGTATAGTTGATATGTATAGTTGTATTCTTACCGTATAGTTGTGTACCAGAGTCCCTGGGCTTAGGGTTATTAAGGGGTATGTATAGTTGATATGTATAGTTGTATTCTTACCGTATAGTTGTGTACCAGAGTCCCTGGGCTTAGGGTTATTAAGGGGTATGTATAGTTGATATGTATAGTTGTATTCTTACCGTATAGTCGTGGTACCAGAGTCCCTGGGCTTAGGGTTATTAAGGGGTATGTATAGTTGATATGTATAGTTGTATTCTTACCGTATAGTTGTGGTACCAGAGTCCCTGGGCTTAGGGTTATTAAGGGGTATGTATAGTTGGTATGTATAGTTGTATTCTTACCGTATAGTAGTCGTACCAGAGTCCCTGGGGGAAGTAGCCCACTACATAGTCCACACCTGGATCTAATACTGGTGTCACCATCAAACTCTTCCCCCATAGGAACTGTCTGTCTATCCCATACGTTCTCACGTCCTTGGGGAACCTAAAGACATGAACACACATTAGTCAGGAACATACTGAAAGAGCTTTGTGTGTGTGTGTGTGTGTCCGTGTGTCCGTGTGTGTGTGTGTGTGTGTGTGTGTAGGTTGGTTGGTTCTTTTATCCTTGTGAAGACCTAAAATCCCCAAATTCCCCACAAGGATAGTAAAACAAGGACAATTCTCCCTTGTGGGGACATTTCCCACCTCCCCATGAGGACAAAGGCTATTTTAAGCTTAGGGGTTAGGTTTAGGGTTAGAATTATGGTTAGGTTTAGGGTTAGAATTAGGGTTAGGGGTTTAAGGTTACAATTAGGGTTAGGGGTTAGGTTTAGGGTTAAAATTAGGGTTAGGTTTAGAATTAGGGTTAGGTTTAGGGTTAGAATTAGGGTTAGGGGTTTAAGGTTACAATTAGGGTTAGCATTAGGGTCAGGGTTACAATTAGGGTTACAATTAGGGTTAGAATTAGGGTTAGGGAAAATAGGATATTGAATGGAAATGACTTTTAGGTCCCCATGAGCATAGAAGAACATAACTTGTGTAGTAATAGTGTGTGTGTGTTTGGTACTCACTCGAACAGCAGAGGGCGAGCGACGGTGTGTCCGTGTGTGTGTGCACGGTGGAACAGTGTGTAAAGCAGAGGGAAGAGAGAGTAGCGTAGCAGGAGAGACTGTTTCATGGCTGAACGGGCCAGAGGGCTGAATGCTGGAGGGTCCTGAGGCTGGGAGGAGACAGAGACGTAGACACAGAGAACATACAGATAGAAAGAGTCATTTTATGACAGTTTGTGTTGGGGCTGCATTGTGTTGGGGCTGCATTGTGTTGGGGCTGCATTGTGTTGGGGCTGCATTGTGTTGGGGCTGCATTGTGTTGGGGCTGCATTGTGTTGGGGCTGCATTGTGTTGGGGCTGCATTGTGTTGGGGCTGCATTGTGTTGGGGCTGCATTGTGTAAGGGCTGCATTGTGGTCTTACCCTCTGGTCGATAGCGTTGTGGTTGCGTGTGAAAGGGTAGAAGGCTCCTAGCTGTGTCCAGCGAACACACAACTCCTCCTCAGTCTGTTCACTGAAGCCACAGATATCAGCCCCCACCAGGGGAACACCCAGGAGGTTAAAGGTTAACATACCTGGAAGGGGAGGGAGGGAGGGGAGGGAAAGAGAGGAGGTGAGAGAAGAAGGGAGAGAGAGAGGGAGAAAGAGAGAAGACACAGATATCAGCCCCCACCAGGGGAACACCCAGGAGGTTAAAGGTTAACATACCTGGAAGGGGAGGGAGGGAGAGAGAGAGAGAGAGGGGGAGAGAAGACACAGATATCAGCCCCCACCAGGGGAACACCCAGGAGGTTAAAGGTTAACATACCTGGAAGGGGAGGGAGGGAGAGAGAGAGAGAGAGGGGGAGAGAAGACACAGATATCAGCCCCCACCAGGGGAACACCCAGGAGGTTAAAGGTTAACATACCTGGAAGGGGAGGGAGGGAGAGAGAGAGAGAGAGGGGGAGAGAAGACACAGATATCAGCCCCCACCAGGGGAACACCCAGGAGGTTAAAGGTTAACATACCTGGAAGGGGAGGGAGGGAGAGAAGCCACAGATATCAGCCCCCACCAGGGGAACACCCAGGAGGTTAAAGGTTAACATACCTGGAAGGGGAGGGAGGGAGAGAGAGAGAGAGAGGGGGAGAGAAGACACAGATATCAGCCCCCACCAGGGGAACACCCAGGAGGTTAAAGGTTAACATACCTGGAAGGGGAGGGAGGGAGAGAGAGAGAGAGAGGGGGAGAGAAGACACAGATATCAGCCCCCACCAGGGGAACACCCAGGAGGTTAAAGGTTAACATACCTGGAAGGGGAGGGAGGGAGAGAGAGAGAGAGAGGGGGAGAAAAGACACAGATATCAGCCCCCACCAGGGAACACCCAGGAGGTTAAAGGTTAACATACCTGGAAGGAGGAGGGAGGGAGAGAGAGAGAGAGGGGGAGAGAAGACCAGATATCAGCCCCCACCAGGGGAACACCCAGGAGGTTAAAGGTTAACATACCTGGAAGGGGAGGGAGGGAGAGAGAGAGAGAGAGGGGGAGAGAAGACACAGATATCAGCCCCCACCAGGGGAACACCCAGAAGGTTAAAGGTTAACATACCTGGAAGGGGAGGGAGAGAGAGAGAGAGAGAGAGAGGGGGAGAGAAGACACAGATATCAGCCCCCACCAGGGGAACACCCAGGAGGTTAAAGGTTAACATACCTGGAAGGGGAGGGAGGGAGAGAGAGAGAGAGGGGGAGAGAAGACACAGATATCAGCCCCCACCAGGGGAACACCCAGGAGGTTAAAGGTTAACATACCTGGAAGGGGAGGGAGGGAGAGAGAGAGAGAGGGGGAGAGAAGACACAGATATCAGCCCCCACCAGGGGAACACCCAGGAGGTTAAAGGTTAACATACCTGGAAGGGGAGGGAGGGAGAGAGAGAGAGAGGGGGGGAGAGAAGACACAGATATCAGCCCCCACCAGGGGAACACCCAGGAGGTTAAAGGTTAACATACCTGGAAGGGGAGGGAGGGAGAGAGAGAGAGAGAGGGGGAGAGAAGACACAGATATCAGCCCCCACCAGGGGAACACCCAGGAGGTTAAAGGTTAACATACCTGGAAGGGGAGGGAGGGGAGAGAGAGAGAGAGGGGGAGAGAAGACACAGATATCAGCCCCCACCAGGGGAACACCCAGGAGGTTAAAGGTTAACATACCTGGAAGGGGAGGGAGGGAGAGAGAGAGAGAGGGGGAGAGAAGACACAGATATCAGCCCCCACCAGGGGAACACCCAGGAGGTTAACATACCGGGAGGGGAGGGAGGGAGAGAGGGAAAGAGAGGAGGTGAGAGAAGGGAGAGAGAGGGAGAAAGAGAGAACACACAGATATCAGCCCCCACCAGGGAAAACACAGGAGGTTAAAGGTTAACATACCTGGAAGGGGAGGGCAGAGGAGAGAGAGAGAGAGAGAGAGAGAGAGAGAGAGAGAGAGAGAGAGAGAGAGAGAGACAGAGACAGCGACAGAGACAGAGACAGAGAGGGTCTGATACAAAGTCTAGAGCAGAAAGTAATAGCCTCATCATTAGCTCTTTTGACAATACCATCTATAAAGGGATTCTGCTACAGCCATAAAGAAATGAAAAGTTGTATACATTTTTACAACTTTACTGTCAGTTTTGTCCTAGTTTGGTTGAGTATAAAACCATCAGA